AAGAAATCAGCTTATTAGAATGATTTCTGAAGGATCATGTGACTCTGTCATAGGAACGCATCTCGGAGGGCAGTATAATGTTGTTTCTTATAGTTTAGAACGACTTTCAAAACCTGTAAGCAGAATATCTAGGCAACATGTTTAGGCACATTTGAGGCACTAAACATTAGGAGAAAAGCAACAGTGTAAATAAAGCTGGTGTTAAGTCTAATACCTTTTTTGTTTCTGCCGATCTCTTTCTTTCCGTGAGGAGGGTCCCAGGTGCTGTCCCTTCTCCAGCTCTTCACCCGCAGCCTTCAGCACGTGACCCTGCACTGAGGTGGGCAGCTTACCAATCAGAGGGGCCACTAACCAGACCCCTGAACGCTCGGAGGAACTGGAGGAAACACAACATGCAGGGCATGAGCTGCGCAGCATCGCTTTCTTCTTACAGCTTAGACACTGATAGGAACACTGATTTGTGTTGTTTGAAGAAGAGAAGGCCAGTCCATCGACTCCATCAAACTGAAAATAAATAAGAGCACAGAGCCCTCAGCTACAAAGCAATGATTGGGGTCACCGACCTGAGCACAGGTTTGAGTTTGCTGGCACTGTTGCTATTGGAGACGGAGCTGCCAGAAACCGCGGACCCATTCCAGGTGGGGTTACTAGAGTTCATCTCCGCAGACTTCTGGAAAACTTCGATGGTGGCCTTGGCTATGTTCTCCAGAAGAGAATACAGCTCCTGTAAAGAGTGGGTTCAGATGTACAAACCTTAAGAAAAGATGAGAAATCATCAAGCGGAGATGAACTCAGCAAACACGCTTCGGCTTACGTTATTTGAGCTTTGCTTGATCATGAGCTGCAGCTCCAGAGACGACTGTCTCATGGTCCACTGGTCCATGTTCTGTAAGCAGAAGAACAGACGGAATATGGAAAGAATGCTTTTAAAGCAGAGCTTAAGAGCCCCAGCTGGGTGTTAATTGTCTATGAAGATGAAAACCAATCCAGAATAATGAGCTGCTGTGAGACCCACACAAATCATTAATGGCTTAAAGGCTAAAGGGTGTGAAATTAATAATTAAGCTTGGGGAAATTACAGACGCAACAGAGCTGTCTGGTGTCTAAAACACCTGTTTGTCTTCACGTATGCAGGCCTGGTCTACTGGGTTTTAAAGCTGAAATGTGCTTTTTCTGCACTGAGAGCATCATCAAATGGATTTGCAAAATCAATGACTGTTTTCAAACAGGTTTTCAGAAAACTCCTCCGCAAATGTGTATAAACCTGGTATATTTTAATTTGGATTATAGTTCGAATGACAGATACTTTGCCAAAGCAACAGCACAAAACACAATGTTAGAGGTCTTTTGTAATTATAGGTGTAAAAATATTTTTGGTTCTGTATGAAACTGGCAGTACAGATTATGGTATGGGAAACACTGTAATGTTTAAGGTAATATTTAAATGCATCTTAACTTAATGGTTTTGATGTGATGTGAAAATCAAAAATTTCACTCTATACTACTATTAAAAGCTCAGTCAACTCAGGAGCAGATGATGGGGTCATGTGAGAGCGTGTGACCTGCAGGATGCGTTTGATGCGTTGTCTCTGAGGATTCTCGCCCTCCTCGCTGTCCAGCTGCCTGTGTGGGTAACAGATGAGCTGCAGCAAGCGCTGAGCCTGGATGTTCACCAGCACTGGGTCCTGCAGAGCACTGCTGTCCTCCGACAGAGACTTCAGACACCGCTCACCCACCCACTCCTGAACCAGAGAGAAAATATATTTCCACAAGATTTGGAAGATCACATCCTCATTTTCTAGCCAGTGGTTAGGATATGAAAAATGTGCTTCTTTGCCAAGGAAAATGTGTGACCCTGGAGCACAAAAGCAGTCTTAAGTCGCTGGGGTATATTTGTAGCAATAGCCAAAAAAACACTGTATGGATCAAAATTATTGATTTTTATTTTATGCCAAAAATCCTTAGGATATTAAGTAAGGATCATGTTCCATGAAAATATTTGGTAAATTTCCTAATTGTACAAACCAAAAACATGATTTTTGATTAGTAATATGCATTGCTAAGAACTACATTTGGACAACTTTAAAGGCGATTTTCTCAATATTTAGATTTTTTTCGCACCCTCAGATTCCAGATTTTCAAATAGTTGTATCTTGGCCAAATACTGTCCTATCCTAACAAATGAATGGAAAGCTTATTTATTCAGCTTTCAGATGTATTATTCAATGTATAATTCAAAAAATTGACCCTTATGCCTGGTTTTGTGGTGCTGGGTCTCATATTTCCACGATTTGAGTCTATAGTGGTATTATAATATGGATTATAACAGCTAAAATTACTCCAAGTATGACAATCTGATCCTCTTAAAACCCTCACCTGTTGGCAGATGCTCTTCAGCACATACTTGGCGTAAACCACCAGACTGGCCGTTTCAATCGAGACATTACGTCCTCCGGATTTTTTGGACCCCATGTCATCCTCTCCGATGTCGTCCAATCCAGCAGAGTGGGAGAAGCCCGAACCCTTCAGCTCAGCGTCTCCTGGAGAAATAAACACAAAGTCACAGTTTTTAGGGACCAATCAATTCTGAATGCATTAACTGCCAGCTGGGTCTCATTATCTCCATCTCCCACTCCTCTGAACTTTAATCTGTTGCTTCTGGCTAAAATTCCAGACCAACATCCATAATAAACCTCTCTCCAATGAAAAAGTCCATCCCCTGTTGTCCCCTCACATTAAAATCAAACCACATTTTTGTTTTTTTAAACAGTGCATGATCTGTGCATATTTTTCTCCTGATCCAGACGAGATGACTTTTTCACTGGTATTATGGATAATGGACTATATTTAGCTGGAAACCACAGTTTGAAGTTATATAAGCTTTTCGCTTCACAAGACGTTAATTGATGGACTGGAGTGGTGTGGATTATTTATTTTATATTTACAAATATTTGTTTTTATCAGCTGTTTGGACTCTCAATTTGACGGCACCCATTCACTGCAGAGGATCCATTGGTGAGCAAGTGATGCAATGCTACATTTCTCCAATTCTGATGAAGAAACAAACTCATCTACATCTTGGATGGCCTGAGGGTGAGTACATTTTTTAGCAAATGTTCATTTTTGGGTGAACTATTTCTTTAATCTCCCTGTTTGACCGGCTAAAATGTGAATGCACAATAGAAAAGTAAAGTCTCAAAGTCTCACCCAGCATGAAAACAGCCTTTAACACGGCAAACACAGCTCCCACCACTATGCTGTTCTGAGAAGCAGCCAGCAGGTGTCGGTCACAGGACGATCTGATGCCCACTGTGGATTTATCTGTGGACAGAAACATTATTCTCAGCTTTATGGGTTCATCTAGAGGTACTGTCTAAAGTCGTTCAGGTGGGATGTGTAAAAGAAAGTTTGAGTTGATTTGGAGGGAGTTGTAACCTGATTTGGTGCCGTCTTGAGGACAGGGGTTGCGCTGTGGGGTTCTGAACAGATGAAGCAGGATCCTACAGGTAAGTCTGGCTCCAGGTTCAGAGTCCTGCTCACTACAGGCTGAAAACACACACACACACACACACACACACACGCACACACGTCACAAGCAGCATCTTCCATAAAAAGGCACTGGCCTCAGAATAGGACTCCATCATTTCTGGCTCACAGCTGCGTTAATGCAGTACAAACAGAATGAGCCGATCACAATACTGCAGACTGCCAGACAGACGGACCACCTGTAACTCAAACGAGCAGGATAAATAAACACCCGGGCAAAAGAATCCTTTGAAGTACCCAGAAGGATCCTCAGACTTGATTTAAGGTGTTGGTTCAACCAAACACACATTCTGTCATGAATTGCTCAACCTCATGTTATTCCAAACCGAATGACACAAATGTTGAAAGAATGTACACAGAAGGTAAATGGAACCTCAAACATGTTTGTGATGAGAACAAACCTCACTGATTCAAGCATGTTCTCTTTCTCTAAATATACACTTCTGAACACCATCTTTCACTGCTGCCCTGAATAGCTCCTTGTGCATTAAGCCAATCAGAGACAGAGAGCGAGACTGTGGGCGGCAGAAGCAGTTCTCTGGCCGCAGGACAAAGCTGAAGATGGAGCTGCCTGGTGAGAAATGTGGAGACATCAAACAGGCTGGCATTTAGTACTGACGCCTGTCTGATGACTCTGTTAGGTAACTGTGAAAAACTGAACGACTGCACCTCCAAGAGTGAGGTATGCAGTGACTGAGTGTCTGTATGGCAGGAAAACTGTGGAACATCAACTGAAAGAGCCGTACCTGCGTTGAGGAGGGAGGGAATGGCCACACAGCGCACCAGATCCTCCAGCAACAAACACTGCCGAGCTATCAGGATGGCAACGAATGTCGCCAGCGAGTCGTGGAAAGACAGATCACTTACCTGCAAAAAGAGAAAACGCATTCAATTATCACCAGGATCATCTAGCACAACTATTTAAAGGGACAGTTCACCCAAAAATGAAAATTTGCTGCTACTCAACTCACAATCAGGCTATTTAAGATGTAGGTGACTGACTTTCTTCAGCAGAACAGTAAAGAAGATTTTTAGCTGAAACTATGGTCCTTGGTGATTCATAAAATGCAAGTCAGCGGCTGCCCGTTTTTGAGAATAAAATAAGCACATCAAGAAACACAAAATGAACACTCGTGGTTTCCTGAAGATATATCAAGGTCTTATGAAGAGAAACGATCAGTCTGTGCAAGAAACTGAACATTATTTACAACATTATTACCTGTAATCCAGAGCCTCAGACAAACGGGGAACTCAGATTCTTTTCTGTGAACTGGTTCTTTCGGACAGTTCGTTTCAATGAACTGGTTCAATTCACTAGTTCATTTACGTAATCATGCAATGACGTCACGTATACGCCATTATATTATTAAAGGTCCCATATTGTCAAAACTGAAATTTCCTGGCTTTTTTCACGATTACTGAGGTCTAGGGGCTATTTAACTACCATATAAGTTTCAAAACAGTCAGTCCACAGTAACATTCACACAGCCTGCTTAAATTTCTAGCTATTTTTCACGAACCATTGTGACTTCCGTAAAAAGTTGACGTCAGAACTACAGTCACCGCCTTCAGTCACCACCCCGAGCACCGCCCACCGTCCCACTCTCCTTTTGCCAAACCCCCAGACAACATTTTGATTGAGTAACTTGTAGATCTGTGCTGCTCGAGCCACGAACGGTTCAGTGTGATTTGGTGAACCGGTTCAACTAGTTCACCAAAAAGAACCCGTTCAAAAGAATGATTCGTTTGTGAATCGGACATCACTCCAGACCGACTGTCCGAGGCTCTGGATTACAGGTTATAATGCTGTAAATAATGTTCAGTTTCTTGCACAGACTGATCGTTTCGCTTCATAAGACCTCAATATATCATCAGGAGCCACGGGTATTAATTTTGTGTTCACTGATATGCTTTTTTTATTCTCAAAAACGAGCAGTCGCTGACTTGCATTTTATGAATCACAAAGGTACACCGTTTCAACTAAAAATCTTCTTTACTGTTCTACTGTAGAAAAAAAGTCACCAACATCTTGGATGGCCTGAGGGTTAAGTCATCTACACACTTCACCACTCATCCATCGACTTCTAGCTGAAGAGTAACTCTTCTAGTCATTCTATGGCAACCTTGATAATCCACAAAAATTGATCTTTGTTGTTGTTTTAGTGCATGTTTTTTTGGAACATGTTTTAGTCAGATCATTTGCACAAATATGCTTAAAATACCAAATGAGATCACATGGCTAGAACATGTTAGCGGTCAATGCAACAGATGAAAGCTGACTCACGTCAACGTTGCAGAGCAGATCGTTGAAGCCGCAGTTGCCGTTGTTGGAGGAGCAGCAGAGAGCCTTGAGCACTCCTAACCACTCAGCGCTGAGAGAGCGACAGTACGCCGTCAGCTCCGCGCACAGGATCCCGATATCATTTACCCTGAAACAAACCACACAGCATTTGCTCACCGCAGGAGAGCAGGTGCAGCTACAGATGCCATGCAGCTGTTCTGCTACTGGAGAATTATGCGACAGGACTCAGGGCAGTGTTTACATTAATCACATCGGTCATTTTTGTGATAGCAATACACTTTAATAAATATCTTTTTACTTAGCCATGAAGTTTATTAAAGACTTAATTAGACAATTTTTGTCTTGAAGTGTTAAAGACAGATGTTAATCTATTCTACAATTTAAACTTCGATAGTAAAATGTAAAAAAAAAAAAATCATAAAATAATCTTTAGTTGTTTATTGCTACCATAAACTGCCTACAGGCTAATTAACTGGAATATTTCACAGTTTGATTACTGATTAACTGATAATTATTAACTGAACACTGGTCTGTTTTCTCATATTGATGTTTTATCAAAAAGTAAAGGCTTATTTCTCAAATTCAGTGTTATTTATATTAATTATATAATATTGAAATATTAATATTATATAATATTTAATAATATTACTTATATACTACTTTTATTAATATTCAGAATTAGCTTTTATTTTTTTGTTATTTCGTTTAGTTATATTATTATTTTAGTATTTTCAGTTTTCATTTTAATTAGTTTAATGTGCATTTGTCAATTTTTAATTACTATTTGGGTTTCGTTTTAATTTGAGTTCTGTTGACAGTACAACATTTCTAATTTTTGTTTCGTTTTTCGTCTAATACTTATACATTTCGTCTAATACATTTATAATGAACCTGCTCAAAACATAAATCGACAGAATTAGATGCTAACCTCTCGGGATCACGGTGGTCCACGCACACGTCCATGAGCACGTTACACACGAAGCTGTATCGGTTAGCTGGGCTGTCATTGAGGATCTTTCCCACCATGGAGTGGTTGAGGTTGTGCGCGGTAGGATTAGCGATAGCGTCGATCATGAACACCTGATCCCACAGCATGTTGGAGTCTGATGGGTCGATGTTATAGTAGATGGAATTCTTCACCTTTGAGCAGAACTCACTGTGGGAATTCACACGAAAAACAGACACCATTAGAGACCAGGAATATGGCGAAAAAAAAAAGTATGGATTTGTTGCTCTTACCTGAAAATCTCTCCAAACTTGCTCTTCAGGTGACTGCAGGAGGTATAGAGGTCGTAGAGATAGGCCAGGATACAGCGTTCAGCTGAGGAACAGTCTGCAGGGTTCACGCCAGACTTGACTACAATCCTCAGCCTGCCGAGAATGATACGAGATATTCATCATTGTCCAAAAAGGGATAGTTCTCCCTAAAATGAAAATTTGCGGTTACTCACCCTCATGTAGATGTAGGTGACTTTTTTTCTTCAGCAGAACAGTAATGAAGATATTTAGCTGAAACTGTGGTCCTTGGTGATTCATGAAATGCAAGTCAGCGGCTGCCCGTTTTTGAAAATTAAAAAGTATATCAAGGAACACAAAATTAACACCCATGGCTCCTGACGATATATTGAGGTCTTATGAAGCGAAATGATCGGTCTGTGCAAGAAACTGAACATTATTTAAAACATTATTACCTGAAATCCAGACCCTCGGGCAAACGGGGAAGATTCTTTTCTGTGAACTGGTTATTTCGGACAGTTCGTTTTAATGAAGTGGTTCAATTCACTAGTTAATTTACGTCATCACGCAATGATGTCACATATACACAATTAAATTATTAAAGCACCCAATAATGATCTGAAATGTGGATGTTTTGCATGTCTAAAGCATACAAAGTAAATAAACTAGTCTTCATCAGCTCACATTTTTACATAAACAAAGAGAAACCATAAAAATGTTCATTTGGCCCTTCATCGGTGTGTTCGGTTCATGCATGTGAATATCAGCGGCTCGTCGGTCTTGGGTCCGAGTCGAACGGTTTCCTCAGTTCAGTGACTGTTGGAGGAACTGAAGCGCTGAATGATTCATTCATCACAGGATCAGATATGCCGCTATTTCTGCTCATTTCCAGTCGCAGTGACTGTCAGGCGTCTGTTAGTGAGCTTTGATTGAGTAACTTGTAGATCTGTGCTGCTCGAGCCACGAACTGTTTCAGATGTTTCAGTCCGTTTTTGGTGAACTGGTTCAAGTAATTCACTAAAAAGAACCGGTTCAAAAGAATGATTCGCTCATGAACCGGACATCACTCCGGACCGTTTGTCCGAGGCTCTGGATTTCAGGTAATAATGTTGTAAATAATGTTCAGTTTCTTGCACAGACCGATCGTTTCGCTTCATAAGACTTCAATATATCGTCAGGAGCAGTGATTCATTCTGTGTTCTTTGATATGCTTTTTTATTCTAAAAAACGGGCAGCCGCTGACTTGTATTTTATGAATCACCAAGGACCACGATTTCAGCTAAAAATCTTCTTTACTCTTCTACTGAAGAAAAAACAGACACCTACATCTTGGATGGCCTGAGAGGGAGTAAATTAACAGCCAATTTTCATTTTTGGGTGAACTATCCCTTTAACATCATTCCAAAAGCTGTGATTGCACTGTCCTATCGATTGGTAGACATGAACATGACGTACCCATCGAAGACCTGTGCGGTCTGGTCAGGGTTGAGGATAAGGCAGGAGTGGTATCTCCGCAGAACGGCCACGATACACAGACAGAGACCTGTAGTGTAACTGCCTGCCAGGTTGGAGGACTTCAGCAGGAGTTCTGCTTCCACCAGACTCAACTCATTCAGCAGCTGCATGACACAACACACGCTGGAGTTAATCACTGATGGACAAAGTAATAATGCTTTTCTTTTACAAGCATGTATGAAGTGAGGGAGAACATCTATAAATTGGAACTGGTTTTTAGTTTTATTATAGCCGATCTCTACTCCAGAATTGCACACAAACCACATTGCAATCATTTCCCAAAATGTAATTTGTGTGTAATTTTTATGAAGTCAGTAAGAGGAGAAAATACTGATCAAGCTCACTTTTTGTGATGTTCACAATATAGGAAGACAATTATGTGGAGGTTTAAAAGAATGCATCTCTGAGAGGAACTGACCGTCTTCAGAAATGTTTCGATGGCATTTTCTTTTCCTCTTAACTCCATATAATGCATATTAAAGTAGTGTTTATAATCTCAGCTATTTTGTTTACAGCGGTAACCAAGGAAATTCTACATCATTCAGTCCGTCTGATGTTTTGTGCAGGTGTCTTATGTAGCATAATTTCACAAATCTAAAGTCAGACCATTCTGTTTTTGCTTTAAATCAAAAACAACTGAGCAGTTGCTACATGTATGTAGTGCTACTGTCTGTTCAAAATAAGTGAAAAAATACATTTCCTGTTGTACCGAAATCATATGGAACAGTGACCTCAAAACCGAGGTACGTGACTTCTGTGCACCGTTACACCCCTAACTCATACGACCCCAAACAGAGATGATATTTTGGGATCAGCTGTCATACCTGTATAGCAAAGTCAATGAGGCCACTTATATTGAGCGAATACTCCATGAGGTCAAAGATGAACTGGATGTGTTGGACCAGTGGGAGGTGATAGGACATCCCTAAGGCAAAGCTGGTGATCTGTTCCAGAACATTCCTGGACACCTGTGAGAACCCAAACACACCATCTGAATGACGTCTGAATGCTAATGAGATTTGGAGAAGGTCAGGATTTACAGTGAATTTAAATATCCAAGTAGGCTTGGATACGCTACACAGATTTTGCCCAGATTTACAGTCTGGATGCTGGAAATTCAGAGCCGGTCTGCAGAAATTGGGCAGATGGAATTGACTTATTTTGCAGAAAACCATGCCATTGGAGAAGATCAAACATGTTTGACATTTTGAAATTATTTTAGAATAATGCATCTCCTAGCAATGAGGTAATATGTGATTCTGCTGCATTGAGAATGACTAGAAAGCCTGGTTGTGTGATCCTCAATTGTTTAGTGTGCGATTCCTAGATTTTCCTCAGTAACCATTACAAAGTTGGCCAGTGTATGATGCCTAATGTTTTAAAAATGGTACAGAATTTAACATCGGTGTAGTTTATTCAGGCTTCAGTGCAGTTTAGGCAATCCTTACAGAGCTCATTGACATACAGAACTCTTAAAGGCACAGTAGCAAAAACAACCTGTTAAGGTGTAGTCACAGCTTCCATAATTTGCGAAATTTTGCGGGCAGAGTCCAGTCATTTCAGTAGGGATCCATGAAATTGGGATTTTCATTGTGAGGCCAAATCTTTTCCTCAAACAGATTTTGCTTGTGTTAAGAAATGGAAAGCCACTTTATACAGTTCGCCAGTTCTCTTTCGTGGACAAAAACACACAAAACTCAATCAAAATGGCAATTTTTGGCGGGTGACCTTGCAAACACAGTCACAAAATCCTAAATGACTGTAAAAGAGTTGAGAGAAAATCGGATGCGTGTCAGACCTGCGTCATTTGCATCAGGTTTAAAGAGACAGCGCTGCTTTTAAACTGAAACCTGCTGCAATCATTGATGTAAAGAACATCAATGATTGCAGCATCAATTATTGTCGAGCCTATGGCCTAATTTTAATTAAAAATACTAAAATACAATTTTAACGATGAACACTTAAAAAGATACTGTAGCACGTTACAAAGATTTCACTCGTTAATATTATAGTTATTGCATTAGCTGTCAAGCTGCCATGATTTTACTTAATTTATTTCCCTTGATTAATGTTAATAAATTAATTCACTATTATTATGGTAAATTAGTGATTTAAACAATTGCATGAATAGAGTAGGGCTCTCAAAATTTTTTTTTCGAATTTTGAATATTCGTCAAATTTAAAATAAAAATCCACATTCAAATGCAAAAACCTTGCATTTGAATTTTAGGTGTGCGTCAGGCAGCCTTATCAGTGGCACACGAGATGTGATGACGATGTAGGTGTCGTTGCATTTTAATGCTTTTCTTAGCCTATCCAGTTGAAGCCACTAGATGCGGCGCTGCTGCGTTGTTCATTCAAAATATTGCGGAAAAAGAGAACAATTGCAGAGAATGTTGTTTACGTCAAAACCGAAACCCAGCCGTTCAACACAGAACGCATATTTATCGCATTTTCTAGAGGGACATCTATCACCGTTGCACTCACGTCTCGCACAAGAGAGCCGCATGTTTAGAAAGCCATGTAAAATGAATGTAAGTTCAACTTTTAAAAAAACATGTCTCGAAACTTTATGGCAGTTTTTCCCCATCCCACTGCATCTCATGTTTTTAAATGAAGAAAGTACTCTTTGTGATTGGTTTTCGGTCCTTTGTATTAAACTATACATACATACATGATGCTGTTTTGTTTCTAATCGTTTAAGCAACTTAATTATATATGGTTTATAAACATTAATTTAAAAATTATGCACTTTTTTCCAAAGATAGTAGTGTTATTTTATTGCTTTGAATAAACGTGCATTAGTGATATTTTGCTCGATGCGCCCTCTTGTGGCCTCAGGAGAGAAGCCAGAAGCTTTTTTCCCCCTAACTGAAATTATGCCTTTTAAATTCGAATATTGATAATATTTAAGTACAAAATTAAAATTTAGATTTTCAGCCATTTTGACAGCCCTAGTATAGAGTAAGATTTGTGTAAACGTAAATGATAAAAATCAGGCTGTGCCAAAATTAGTGGACAGTGCTGATGAGAAAAATTACATCACATGCACTGTCTGCGAAATGGTGAAAAGTATATTTTGGTTTAAGACAAAAAAAAGCAGGTCACAGCAGTTCATTGATGCAAATCAGGCTGACCTGAGAGGTGACCTGGTGCTGGTCAAAGTGTGAGAGGTGCTGGAATTTAGAGAAAATGTCTTCAGCGGTGGGAAAGGCCTCAGGTTTACTCCTCTTCCTCTTCTGACCTTCCTCACCTCCTGAGGAAAGAAAACAAAAGACAAAAATCAACGATTATACAGCACACATGCACGAGAGTGAGCCCTAACAGGATTTCAGTAAGATGAAAAGCGGAGATCGCTATCAAAGTATAAAGTGCCCTCATCCAGCATCCATCAGTCAACCGCTGAGGTCACTCTGTCAAACGCTTCTTCAGATTAAAAGATTAAGAGCTGCCACAGGGTTACGGGTCAGTGTTTTTGTCGTGCTTGAAATAGTAATAGCTGTGGGTTGAGCCGTTTAATGTCAGGACCAAGGCTCAGTCTGCTGCGAGGGGAATAATGGAGGTGTTCAATTACACCTCCATTAAAAAGTGAAAGCAAACGCGGGGCTGCTCTTTCTGACCGAGTCGGCAGCTAAGCTTGAATATAATAAGTCAATGATTGCTATTAGCATTGAAATGGGGCTAGAGCTATGAATAATCAATGACAGCAACTTAAGGATTAATAAATTACTTCTTTGAGTGTACTATTCCTTTAAAGGGGTCATATGATGCGATTTCAATTTTTCCTTTCTCTTTGGAGCCCAGCCTGGGGTTGTCACATGTGGTTGCCGCTGCTTCGTCGAATCCGCCGGGCACGCCGTTCTCAACCCCGCTGCCTCTGGTCACTCTAGCCCGGCCTCAACTCACGCTAAGCTGCGGCTTCTGCTCACGCTAGGCCGCCGTGTTTTTCGTTGTGAAAGCGAAACTACTTTGTTTGGTCTTCCAAAAGAGGACCCTCTAGTGTGTGCAACAGTAGTATAGATCAGGGGTTTTCAACCTTTTAGGACATGCGCCCCCCCCAAGTTGGTCTAATTTCACTCGCGCACCCCCAACATCCAACAACCCCCCCCAACCGGTATTACTGCAGTCACACCGAATTACTTTATTAACATTAACATAAAAGCAAATATCCATTAAAGTTAATAAAGCAGCGAACAATTTTTCTTTTGCTCTTTTTGATTAACATTATTTACATAAGAAATGCACGGACCTGTTATACTGATGTACATTTGATATTTTCTTTACTGTTTACATTCACTTAAAACAAACGACTGTGCTTACAAGGATACTTGCCCTTTAATAATCTTCACAGTTAAATTTTCAGATCTGTCGGTTTGAGTCGTGTTCATCGCCGCACCTGTCTCTGCTGTACTCTTGCGGTTGAGAACCTTCAGGATGTCTTTGGTGATCTTCTTGATGGCGTGGCGAGCTTCATCTCGCTGTTTGCCAACCCCATAGAGAACCACCAGACGCTGGTTACACTCGTGACTTGCGCTCTCCTCCTGAACAACAACCAGTTTAGTCACAATATTAGTCATAGAAACTACTGTTCAAAACTATGGGATCGGTACGATTTTTTTAATGTTTTAAAAACTCAACAAGCCTGCATGTATTCGATCAAAAATACAGTAAAATCAGTTTTATTGTGAAATAGTATTCCAATTTTAAATAACTGTTTTCATTTAAAATGTAATTTATTCTTGTGCTCAAAGCTGAATTTTTTTTTGCCTCATTAATCCAATGATCCTTCAGAAATAACTATAATATGCGGATTCTGTGCTCAAGAAACATTTAATATTATTATTACTATCAATGTTGAAAACAGTTGTGTTTGTGCAAACCTTGATACATTTTTTGATGAATGAAGTTTTGCACTTATTTCATGCGTGTTCTTCACATGACTTGTCAGTTTCTAAATAAGTATTTAGAATAATAAAAGGAGAAAATGACCATCTTTACTACTTTAAATAAAGAAACCCTTGTTATTTATGAACGGCAACACTTTAGTTTAAGGACCAATTCTCACTATTAACTAGTTGCTTATTAGCATACATACTACTAGCATATTTGGCTGTACTTATAAAGCACATATTAATGCGTTATTCTGCATGATCATATTCTAGATCCCTTAATGCTACACCATACCTAAACTCAAGAACTATCTTACTAACTATTATTAAGCAGCAAATTAGGAATCACAGTTAATCGTGAGAATTGGTCCCCAAACTAAAGTGTGACTTTATTAACATATAAGGTCACACTTTAGCTCACCTGAGGAATGGGGAAGTGGGTGGCGTACTGTATGTGGCGGGGCTGCTCGTAAACCAACGGGAAGGCCGGGTCCATGCCCTTATCCTTGGCAGTGTTTTTGCTCTCCTGCTCAGGGGCAGGTTTCTCCGGGGAAGGGCTTCCCTTCGACTCGCAGTGCATCGAAGGAGAGAACATCTGCTGAAGGATCAGACGACGACACATTTAATCAGCAAACATCAGGTACCATCACTATTACAAAAGTGACAATTTAAGTGAAATGCTTTCTCCAACCTCATCAAAGTTAGCACTCGAGTTGTGATCTATCTCCATAGACTCGGACATACCAGTATCCTAAAAAAAACAAACAAATATAATTAATAGCAATAAAGTATGACTTCATCCGACCAATCATTTCCACTACACTGTGACTGCAAAAAAAGCTTCTTGCCTCCATTTTAACACTGCTTCCTGCATCCTGCTCTTTGCGCTCTGATTCGTCAGAGGGCTCGTCGCCGGGGGAACGTGGGCGGGGCAGATGGGAGTCGGAGGCCAGGTCGCCACGGGAGATGAGGGTGCACATGTAGATGTTGTGTGAGAAGACGTCATGACGGATGAGCTCGCAGAAGAGCAGCACGAGATTGGAGAACTCCACTCGCTCGCTCTCGTTCCCGGGCTCAGCTTCACAGACACAGAAACAGAGTTTTAGCTCATATACACTGCCGCTCAAAAGTGATGCTGAATATTCAGCTTTGCATCACAGAAATTAATTATATTTTAAAGTATATTAAGAAAGAAAACCGTTATTTCAAATTGCAATCATATTTCACAATATTACTGTTTTTTTCTGTATTTTTGATCAAATAAATGCAGCCTTGATGAGCAGAAGAAACTTCTTTAAAAAAAACAATAAAAATCCTACTGATCCCAAACTTTTGAGCGGCAGTGTGTACCTTATTTAAAAGCATAATCCTTCTCTAAAGCAGTTAATGGAACTGGAAAGAAACCCCTAAGGATGCTAAAATATGAACTCACTGAGAACAGGGGCTTGTGTGTCCAGGAACTGCAGTAGGACGTCCTGGAAGACGGGCAGAGTAGCAGCAGACAGAGACCCTGATGACACAGAGCCCTTCTCATCCACGACCTCCGACTCTCCACACCTCTAAAAACACACACAGGATTACTGTGAAAACTGTGGAGCTGGACATTACAACACCATTTTCATAATGGAAAACAATGGTTCCCAGCAGCACCTCTGCCTCAATCTCCGTCTGCCTCTTCTCCAGGAGTTTGGCCACCACCATGGCTCTATGCGGCCCGGACCTTTTACAGGAAACAGCCCACTCACACAGCAGGGTCACCACCGCATCGTCGTCTGGACTCATCTACAGTGACCAGCACATTATACATCAAACATCAGATCAAGCTAAAACATCTTAGTGTTATATAATTAGTACTACGTAGTTATTACACATTAATTACATTGTTATTACAATAAGGTTGGTGAAGAGCTAAGTATCACAACACTTACTACAGTTAATAACTGTGCTTTATTGGCACACTACTGTTCAAAAATTGAGGTTTTCAAACGTTTTTTTTTTTTTTGGGTGTTTCTGAAGTCTTTTGTGCTCGCTAAGGCTGCATCTATTAGATCAAAATTACAGTAAAAACAGTACAACTGTGAAATATAACAATTTAAAATGACTTTTCTATTTTAATATATGCTAAAATGTAATTTATTGCTGTGGTCAAAGCTGAATTTTCAGCATCATTACTCCAGTCTTCAGTGTCACACGATCCTTCAGAAATCATTCTGATATGCTGATTTGCTGCTCAAGAAACATTTCTGATTATTATCAGTGTTGAAAACAGTTGTGCTGGAAGCTGCGAGACTTTTTCAGGATTCTTTGTTGAAAAGAATGAAGATTTATTTGAAACAGAAATCTTTTTGTAACATTCTAAAGTCTTTAGTGTCACTTCGGATCAATTGAATCTGTCCTTGCGGAGTAAAATTGTTAATTTCTTACTGACCCCAATCCTTTGAAATTCAGTGGGATCCCATAACAACAAATAAACCTTTACCTCATGTCCGTCTTTGCTCTGTCCCGAGCCAAAGATCCGGTTATACAGCGAATCCAGGGAATTGCTGAAGTCAGACTTCTCAAAGCTGTGGTTGTCCAAAACCTCCAGCGTATGCAGAACCCGGCTGATGGTGAAACCTACCGGACACACCACAGATCCTATATTATACTACAAAAGTCCTGTCCACACGGAGATGCTGCACACCTCATTACTGCCCACCTGCTGTCGTCTCCTGACACTTGTCGAAGGACCAGCGAAACTCCACCGCCTGTCCTCTCTCTTTGATCTGCTCTTCAATCTCCCTCACCTTGGCACGAACCTGAGAAGCATCACGTTCCTTCAGATTAATTGCTTTCATTAGATGAAGAGCCAGTAGATCAGATCATGTAAAATCCAGCGAAGTCAAACCTGCTGGTTAAAGCTGCTGTTGCCCCCCGGCATGGGCAGGTTAGAGGACGCGATTGGCAAGAGGTCTAATGGCGAGCCGGTCTTATTACGGCTATCTGTCAGAGAGTAGTGCCAGACCAGAGCGCTGGGACAACACAACACGATACTCTAGAGCGGGACAAACAGAACGAGAACAGTGTCAAGAGAAACTCAATGACAGGGATCAGAGAAACACAGCTGGAGTGACACATATGTGGCAGTACCTGCAGCATGCAGCTGAGTCCGAACACCACGGGCCTGTGCTGGGGGCAGATGTAGAAGTCTGTGAAGGGGGTTTGGGGCTGGTTGCCCCCTGCAGGCTGGGAGGTTGGGGTGGGGGGCAGAGCGTTCCCTTGCTGTGCTGAAATGCCGTGGGCCGGGTGTCCGCCTGGACCTGGTCCGAGACTGCCATCGCTCAGCAGCAGATTGAGCCGGCGTGTGCAGAAATATGCCAGCCGTCTAGATAAATAGGCTGACTGAACAAACTCTCCCGAGTACTGAACGAAATAAAGACAGGGTCAAAATAATCACACTGCATTCAGATAACGACCTTGTCAAGACACACTCAATCCTTTATGGCTTCTCTGTCCTGATTTTGGGAGAAAAATCTGCAGAAACCTCTGGTAAGATTGTGTTAAACTAAGCTGAAAGTATTATACTTTTATCGTTTATATTTGTTTGGGTAAAACCGGGTTAAAATGTGACATTTGGTTTTCAACCACTGAAAATGGATCAAATTCAACAAAGTGGACATTGAGTCAGACTGGGCAGTATGGAGATATTTTTAATACTACTTGTAAAACTTTGGAAAAAGAATATTTATGGCACTTGGACAAGTATGTTCAATGCAAATGTTTTGATAGAGGGAAACAAGTTACATATGTGACCCGTGCTGGCAAAATGAGTGGGAATGCTGCTAATTTTGAGCTACAGGCAAAAAAGTGAAAAATGTTGATTTTAGTCAAATTTGAGGTTTTCACAAAAATTAGTTCATTAAACCATCATCTAGCGATCCCAATGCTCCAAATAGTAATTAAGCATCTAAAATCATCTTTATTTGTAAATTTTCTGAGAGGAGTACCTTTTCTCCCCTCGCTTCTCACGCTGACTGTCATCCGAAACGCGTGCACAAAGGTGCTTCTGGCTGCGCGCAATCCGATAAATATACACAATTACAGAATTCATGCAAACATAATCTGTTACGTCTTAAGTGAACGTTCGGGGAACTGTTGGGGAAAAACATCTGATGTGTAACATTATATTAGATCCGTGCATTACAGTAGGTCTTAACATAGAATAAAAATATGTCATTTTTGATAAATTGCTCATTGTGACTCATTTTGCCAGCGAAGGACACATTTATAGTTTCAAGATTATTTGTTCTTCAGACATTTCTCTTTAAAAGAAAAAAACATCAGCTGAACGCAAAGTGAAACCACATTTGGTTTCTAGCCACTGAAAATGTGTACAACTGAACAATTTACTCCTGCAGCCATATTGAGACTCCAATATCGTTGGAATGGAACCATAGAGGGCCTTAAAAATGAAGATGACAAAAGGAAAGTTTGTTAAGACCCAAAATCTAAAAGGACATTAAGATATCTTCGGAAGAATTTACTTGAGTCACAGACATGCAAACTTTGGAGAAAAAACTTGGAAAGTGCTTTTTGAACGGTCACCATTGGCACATAATGCAACAAAGATTGATAAAGTCAACAGATTTTACTAACAGGCCTACCAATCTCTGTGTAAAAGTAATATAATGATGCTGCCATCTGTATGAAATCATTTTTACCCTCCTGTATTTGCCTCTGGATCTCAGGTGAAAATTGTCATTTTGACCCTCCTCTACAAAATAGTGGATTATTCAGTAAATATACATGAATGACATTTAATATTTTGGCTTTTTTCTTCATGCATTTCTTTCACCAGAAAAAAATATGAACAAAATCAATCATTTGACCTCTGATTGAGTTGACACGGAATGACCCATTAAACATTAACTGAAGTAAATAAAATAAACAAATTTAAAACTATTTTATTACAGCTAGTTGCCAAATCAATACTTCTCATTTTTAAGTACTAAAATAACTAAAACTACATAAATTAAAAATAAAACCTAAAATGTAATAAAAATACTATATATAAAAAAAACTATAAAAATAACAAAAATACTAAAACTTTAACTAAAAATGTAATTGAAAACAGAAAAAATCAAAATAAAATCAAATTCAAGATATAATTAATAAACTAGTATACCAATGATACTGAAAGATCAGCTTAATAAACACTTTTGAAATGTCTAAATCTAGCTGACATATGTAATCAAATGAAACACAAAGGGACAGTGAATGTGCAGATCTGCTGCATTAACTGACCTGTAACAGGAGCGGCAGCAGGAATCGCAGAAGCTCGTCCTCGCCAGGTCTGATCTTCTCAAAACACTCCAGCACCCAGGTGAGGAACTCATGTCTGTCTAACATGCCATCCTGTTACACATGTGCACATATACACAATAAACAATCCCATCAACACACAACAAAAACACTCCCTTTTTGCTAAAGACTTATAAATGGTCACAGCAGGCAGTATGATATACGTGACCCTGGAGCACAAAAGCAGTCTTAAGTCGCTGGGGTCTGATGCTCTTTAATGCACTGTGACGGGTGATCGTATCGATTTGGGAGACAGGCGTATCGTTCCAGCCCTAATATATAAACTAATGTTCAAAAGTCTAGGGCCAGATTTTTTTAATTTAATTTTTTTAAAGAAATTAATTATTTTATTCAGCAAGGATGCATTAAATTGATCAAAAGCAACAGTGAAGACATTTGTAATGTTATAAAAGATTTGTGTTTCAAATAAATGTGTTCTTTTAAACTGTCTTTTCAAAGAATCCAGAAAAAAAAGTATCACAGTTTGCACAAATAAATGTGTTTTGAGCAGCAAATCAGCATATTAGAATGATTTCTGAAGGATCATGTGACACTGAAGACTGGAGTAATGATGCTAAAAATTCAGCTTTGCATCACAGGAATAAATTACATTTTAAAATATATTACAATAATAAACAGTTATTTTAAATTGTAATAATATTTCATAATACTGCTGTATTTTTGATCAAATAAATGCAGCCTTGGTGAGCTGAAGAGACTTCTTTCAAAAACAGAAATCTTCCCAACCCCAAACTTTTACATGGTGGCGTATATATAAAAGGTGAGGTGACTTTCAATGAATGGACAAAAATAATGAGAGCGTATTTAGAAATATCTTCATTTGTGTTCCAAAAATAAACAAACGTTATGGGTTTGGAATGACGAGGGTGAGTAAATGATGACATTTTTATTTTTGGGTGAACTATCCCTTTAAAAACGTAATCTTTGTGGGACATAACTCCCATGTTTCTAGTTGACAGCCCTCTGTATTAAGAGACAGCTGCACTGCATCTGTAAATAAAACTGGGCTCACCTACCTGAAACATGAACATGGCCAGCTTCTCGTTGTACTCCCACTGTTTCATGGCGGTTTCCACCTCAGCAGGAGGAGCGGGCAGAGGAGACCCACAGCCCTGGCTGGGAGACTGTCTGTAAAACTCTGCCACCTTCTGCAGCTGCTCCCACAGGTATTTAGTAATTATCTGAGTCCATTCTGCAGAAGCCAGATAAAGCCAGTGAGGCATTGCAGCACAAAGCCCAACACTGGGTCGGTACTTCCGTGACCTTTCCAGCGTGATTACGTAATGCGTGAAATCAAGCTAGTGCAAGACCAGCATTTGTGGTTAAAGTATATAAATGTTTCTTTTTTTTAGAAAATGACCGATGGTTTTGTTAGATAAGAGCCTTATTTCTCGGCTGGGATCGTGTAGCGCTCTTTGAAGCTGCACTGAAACTGCAATTTGGACCTTCAGCCCGTTAAGCACCATTGAAGTCCATTATATGGAGAAAATTCCTGGAATGTTTTCCTCAAAAACTTTAATTTCTTTGTGACTGAAGAAAGAAGGACATGGGGGCAGTGGTGTAATGTAACGAAGTAATAATACTTCGTTACAGTACTTAATTATTTTTTGGGAGTATCTGTACTTTACTTGAGTTTTTATATTTCAGCCAACTTTTACTTTTGCAGTACCTCCTGTACTCCTGTACAGTACCTTCGGTAACCCAAACAATATTACAAAACACCAAACCTCACTTCTTGCAAATAAGTGAAAAGTAAATATTAGCAGTCAATATAGGCTACATGCATGGGACCACACACATATCTTACAGGATTAGTTCACTCCAGAATTAAAATTTCATGATAATTTACTCACCCCCATGTCATCCAAGATGTTCATGTCTTTCTTCAGTCGAAAAGAAATTAAGGTTTTTGAGGAAAACATTGCAGTGTTTTTCTCTGTATAGTGGACTTCAGTGGGGTTCACTGGGTGGAAGGTCCAAATTGCAGCTTCAAAGTGTTCTACACGATCCTAGATGAGGAATAAGGGTCTTATCTAGCGAAACGATCTGTCATTCATTAAAAAAAAAATTACAATTTATATATTTTTTCCCTCTAACGCTCGTCTTGTCTAATTCTGTGTGAACTCTGTGCATTCCGGTTCATGCCAGTTAGGGTATATCGAAAAAGTCCCATCTCATTTTCTCCTCCAACTTCAAAATCGTTCTAAATCGTACTACATCGCTGTTTTACCGTTTTTTGTAAAGGGCGTTTGACTTTCTTTGCACGTTCACTTTGTAAACACTGGGTCGGTACTTCCGTGACCTTTCCAGCGTGATTACGTAATGTGTGAAATCAAGCTAGTGCAAGACCAGCATTTGTGGTTAAAGTATATAAATGTTTATTTTTTTTAGAAAATGACCGATGGTTTTGTTAGATAAGAGCCTTATTTCTCGGCTGGGATCGTGTAGCGCTCTTTGAAGCTGCACTGAAACTGCAATTTGGACCTTCAGCCCGTTAAGCACCATTGAAGTCCATTATATGGAGAAAATTCCTGGAATGTTTTCCTCAAAAACTTTAATTTCTTTGTGACTGAAGACAGAAAGACATGAACATCTTGGATGACATGGGGGTGAGTAAATTATCAGGAGATTTTTATTCTGGAAGTTAACTAATCCTTTAAGATCACAAACCATTTGACCGTGTTCTGTGAAATTCAGTAAAGGTTTGTGTGCTGTTAACAGCATGTTCTGGATCTACACAAGCGCTCTGTTCAGAGTTTACAAACCGCAGCATGGCAAAAGCGAACCTTTTTAGCGAGCTGAGTTAAGGGTTTGGTCCCGGCCAAGTCTGTGAACCAGTTATTAATGGAGCTCTGCGACCGCGCTGTGACAAGCCAGAAGTTGTCCTTCTGATTGACCTGCGGCTTCCTCTTGCCAGTGTCTGGAAATGTGTTGCAGCGTAACTTCTCCGCAATGATGCTGCTGAAGTTTGAGCTGATCTGAAAAGCAGAAGGTAACAGGAATGCCAAAGGTAAATGAATGAGGTTGGCTGGTTGATGTTTTAACACCACGCCAGCTTCCTTGGCTATTTTCATGGTAAGTAACAAGTTGAAACAGTATAAAAGAGCAATTTATAAACCTACGTCAGGTTTGGAACAAAAATGGATTCAGGGTTGACTTTGCCTTCGAGTGTTTGAGGAGTAAAATAATTTCCTGTGAGAACTTAAACCAGCACAGTGGATATTCATTTGATATTGAGAACTTGTGTTTTACTTAGTTTCTTTTATATACATTTATCCATTCATACTCATTAATTTTATTGTTCCATTTAACCATATAATCACTTATAATAATCATTTAAACCAGGGGTCTCTAAACTCGGTCCTGGAGGGCCGGTGTCCTGCAGAGTTTAGCTCCAACTGTCCTGGAAGTTTCTAGTATACCTAGTAAGACCTTGATTAGCTGATTTAGGTGTGTTTGATTAGGGTTTGAGCTAAACTCTGCAGGACACCGGCCCTCCAGGCCCCTGATTTAAACCATTTATACACTTGTTTTATTGATTCATTCATTGATTAGTCATTTATATTATTTTATTTTTGTATTATTTTCCATTGTTGTTTAATCTTATTGCGTGGTTTTAAAGGGGTCATATGACGTTGCTAAAAAGAACATTATTTTGTGTATTTGGTGTAATGAAATGTGTTTATGCGGTTTAAGGTTCAAAAAACACATTATTTTCCACATACTGTACATTATTAGGAGGCCGTGGACGAGTCTTTGCAACTTTAGGGATCTTATTTATTCACGAACAGCTTGTAACACTCCAAAGAGAAAGGAAAAGTTGAAATCGCATCATATGACCCCTTTAAGGGTTATTTGTCTTCACGAGTAAAGATATAAGAGAATGTCTCAATTTCAAGGTTTTTAAGGTTGGATGTTGGTTTTTAACAGGACGTTGCTATTGCTTGTGGTATAACAACACTTGTTGCATTTGTGCTGCTCAAATGAAGTCTGAGCATTGAAACACGCAACTAAGATTATTCAATAAACTCTGCTCATTTTTTATCATTACTTCACCTCCTGCTTCTGCTCTTCTTTGGCTTTACTCAGTCAACTTCTTAGCTGATAGAAGATTATTACAGTTTTGGGTACTAGACAAGACTTGCTGCTAACAGGTTTTTGGTATCAGAAAACTAAAAAATGTGTATTTTCTCTCTCTCTCTATATATATAGTATAGCACATACTGATTTATTAACTCTTCTGAAATAAAAAAAATGAGTATTGTGTTGTCTAAAAATGAATATAAACATGTCTGAAAACATGCCATCTTTTTGTTATTTTGACCAATTGTCATTTCATGCTCTAAATGACAACATTTTTATTTAAAATGTCTTAGGTCGTTTACAGAATAAAACAAAAATTGTGTTACTCAAACACATAATTATAAATCCAGAGAAACTTTCAAGTGTTCTCTTAATTTTTTCCTTAGCTGTATATATATGATTTTACCCACAGTAATGTCAAATGCATACTATTTGTTTTTGATACATTGCTCTTATTCATTTTGCCATTTGTTGTTGATGCAAGATACTATGGAAGTTTTAAAATCTGAGGGTGGTATGTAAACATTTTCAATATCTGTGATATTAATTTGTAAGTGTCCATTTGTTCACAATGTCCAGATATCCGACAAAAACAGATAAAGTTCTGTTTCTAAAAACCTGTAAAAGAATGAGGATTTGACTGATAAAACACATGTATGCAGATAACCTCTGCACTTATAACCTTACCTTTGAAGGGTTGAAATTGACATTTTTAGCGCTGCCATGCTCATCGCCTGAAACAGCTGGCTGGTTGTTAAATCCTTGCTTGACGTTCAATGCCGTCAACTCATCCTAACCAACGAGAGAGATTTGTTACTAAATGCCTCATGCATGCATATCTCATTTTCATTTCAGTGTATGCTGGAGAGTTAATCAAACACCAGAGAACGACAATCACTCATTCAAAATGCATCAAGACAACAAACACTGCATTCAGACAGAAAAACCTGCAGGTGCAATTATAAGACTTCACATGCAATGCTAACAAATAATAAGACTTATGATGAATAAGTCCATATAATGAAAGAGATATTCAAATATACTTTCATATGCATTTTCTGTTTCTTCAATTTGCGGACAACTGAGACTGTTTCTAGCTAGACAGGCATTATAGGCATCATATGCACGTATATTATTTGCATGCATAGATCATCAATGTACAAAATTCTTAAGGAACCCGTGATGCCCAGAAATGTTGCCTAGCTAGACAGCTTGCTAGGTTTTAAAACGCATCCATGATAAACACATCAATTCAACAGAAGCTGTCAACAAACATAAACATCCCGACAGCACTAACAGGCTACTAGGACTGTTTACATCTCAAGTATTTATTTGCAATTAACACAGCTTTTATCGCTTTCTTAAAATACATAAAATAATGATAATAACGGTTGTAGATTTCATGAAGCCCTTTATAAAGGAGCGATGAAAGCAGCTTTAAATAAAAAGCTCGATAAATACAGATTTTAAAGCCGATTTTATGTTCCCTTTTCTCTCTGTAACCATCTGCAATACCAACCAAAGATGAAGACCGAAATCACTTGAGGCATAAATTATGTTTGTCTGTCTCGGTTCAGCTAACCGAGCCGTTGGTTTCATTGTTATTGGCCGTTAGCTGAAAGCAGGGCCTGATCTCAAAACACGCTTTAATTCCCTATTTAAATATTAAATGTCGCTACAGAGGAAGAGGGAACGTCGTCTAACCTCCTTTTGCTTCGGGTCCTGCGGATAAACGTCCGGAGGACCGAGTCTGGGCCGTTTGAGAGGCCTGTGTTCGTAGCTCAGAATGCCGAAGGCAGCCATCATCCCCGCGGCATGTCAGCCGGTGTGTGGCCGATCCTGAGCGCTGCTGCTGCGGCTAGAGCTCCGCTGCTTCACCGCTGCTTCACCGCTGCTTCCGCTCCGACGAGAATGATGGGTAAACACAAGACAACATAAAAGTCCCTCCAGCACAACAAATGGAGCTTCTTTGATGGATTTTACTTTCTCGCAGCGTCGTTGTGGTTCATTTGTTTTGTGTTGTGTTTTTGGAAGTGAGTTCCATGGAATCATCAATAATTTTTCGTAGTACATAATGTTTATATAACGTTTTTCTTTATATAATGTATGCCACATATAAAAAAAAAAGTCCAAACAGGTAAAATACTAGTGCTGTCAAACGATTAATCGCATCCAAAATAAAAGTTTTTATTTAGATAATATATGTGTGTGTACTGTGTATATTTATGATATATATATAAATATATAAACATACGTGTATATATTTTAAAAATATTTACATAATATAAATATTTATATTATGTAAACAAAAACTTTTATTTTGGATGCGATTAGTCGCGATTAATTGTTTGACATACTAAAAATAATGCATAATTAGAAATTACATGAAAATTGACAAAATATGTTAAAACACACACACACGCACGCACGCACGCACACACGCGCACACACACACACACACTAACAGACTTGGGTTTCCATGTTTTATGGTGACTTTCCATAAACATAATGACTTTTATACTGTGCAAACTGTATTCTATCCCCTTAACCTAACTCTCACAGGAAACGCTTATTGATTGATTGATTGTTTGTATTTTTACATAAAAAAAAAAAACAATAATATCTTAATATGACTTATAAACTGTTTCCCCAAAAAGTGTCTCCACAAGGTCAAAAAATAAAATAAAATATATAAAAAATGATCATGGTTTACCTGGGGACGATAGAGTTACTTTCAAATTTCTGTGCTGTTAAACCAGTTTTGTTATTGTTTAAGAAGCTAACAATACATGTGTCAACAGCTGAGTGTGTGCTTTTATATTTACTGACTGATAATAATAGTGTCTGAATTTACATACCTGTGTACAGTAAGTTTTGTGAAGTGTGTGCGCATGTTGAGTTTGCATCTGCTCGAGTGTGTGTTTGAATATGCACAATTTTTATTTCTAGCCGTCTCCATGGAGACTAAGTTCAGATAAAATGACAGAGCTGTGTAAGTTCAGCTGTAAATTGAGTGGACAGGAACAGAAATAGCTATTGTGATATCACATATGAGATATCACTGCTGATGTACGGCAGAAATGTCATTTAACATACTGAAACATGCTGAAATGTGACGCGCACACACACACACACACACACACACACACACACACACAACAGTTAAATGTATACATATAATCTTTATTCAATAAAGCATTTTTATAACAATCATAAAACAAGTGTTCATAAAACAACCACAAAACTATAATCTCTGAATCATAAAGAACAAGGCAACTCTTAATGATTAGCATACTGTATCTAAGCTTATGAACCAATTTCTCTTTATCTTGATATTTCCAAGATAACCATAAACAGATACTGCACGGTATGCCATATATATTTATACAAATATATATATAGACCCCCAAAGGCCTTGCATGTTTCAGGTACATAAATGTTCACTGTGCAATTTTCAGCCTGGAAAATAAAACCAACCAAATCATCCATTCCTGAAGAGATCACTCCTCAAGAATGAATGAGATATTTAGCATTACAATCTTCCCAGCCTCCATGTGTGCATGAAACTACCTTGATTTCAAACATAAATTAAAGTCTCTTTGGATTCCCGTGAATCTTCGGAGGATATAATCAACCCAGCATAATGACAATCAATGAAAGTTGTAAGCAAAAAAAATCAGAACAGCATATTACACAGAAATAGTACAAATAAGAACGTTGAATTATTGCAAGAATTCACATTGCACATTTTGTCACTAAAACACTATTTGCACAATGCTTTTGACAGATATCTGCCAAATATATAACAGCAGAGGCACAAAACTTACACAGTATGAGTAACAACAAAAGCACAAGCAGATATAAAAATAAACATTTTGTGCTGATTTCTGGAATGTTTGATATGTGTGACTGATCTGAACGTCATCTTTGGTTGGATTCATATATGCCTGAAAACCTCAGATACAAATAAGGCAAATCAATAGGATACCTTATGGTCGATGCATACCTTGCATACTTTTACACAGCAAATAAATGCTTAAAGACAGGAAAACAAATACATTATCAGTGTGCAAAATTTACTTCCACCAAACCCAGGTAGAAGGACGTCTCGTATGAGAAACACACTCAGTCAACACTTGTTCAGACTGACTCCAGGAGTCCTGATGCTTCTGCGGAAGGCAGGATTCTTCAGCCACGTAACACAAATAAAGTGCCATCAACATAAACGTTCCCGTCGGACATCATACACTATATAAACTCAGAATCTCTCTGTGTGCTAATAACAACATGATCATCGTCTTAAACTACACCAAACAAACGGACAATCTCAGTTTGAGCAGCTTCAAGGATTTCAGTCTTCTCAGCAGGCTGGAGGAGCTCTGCTCTCTCTGGATGTGTCTCTGTGTCTCTCTGGATGTCTTCAGTGGCTGCTGACTTCTTAGGGGTGACTAAGCGTTTCTTCAGCTGCCAACATCATGGCACGAAAACGTGAGTTTTCATCAGCCAGCAGGTTTGAAGGGGTGTCAAACTCCAAAATCTATTTCAAAGATGAGAAGATGTCACATCAGCATGACTTTGACTTACTACTGTACATGCAGTCCATACTGTGTATTATAGGCAGTGTTTTGACACACAATATCAAACCAAGTGCATTCTCTAAACGAATGACACACTGCTCTGAGTCAGTTATTCTACACATAGAAAGAATACATCCGATAAATGCATTAACGGTTTGAAAACACACTACTGTTAAACATGTAATTTCAATTTCATGTGTTAATGTTAATTTGACAGCTCTCTCTATGTATATACACCGCATTTATAGAATAAAATGTCTAATACGATTATATTTTCACATTCACGTGTAATCTGACATGTAAGATTCATTATGCTCTGTGAGATTTCTACAGACTGCATCTTTTGCGTTTGATTATCACATTAATTATGAACCTGAACAATGACAATTCTCCAAATATCTTGATTTTGAGTGTTATATCTATGGTTTTATCAGTAAAAAAAAAAAACATTGTAAAAACTTGTGTTTTGTGGATGCTTGAGCTTTTTCTTGTAAATGCCACTTGGTTTAATGTTTTGTTGTCTATGCACTGACACTTAAACATAAGGGTGAGCGATACTGGCAAAAAACGATTTCAATCATTTTGGATGATTTTGTCGATATCGATAACTAGATGAGTGTGTTTTTATGCTGGTACTTAAGGCTCCCAACGACAGTACGACAGCTAGCGGAAGCTAGAGATTAAGGTTTATATAGTTGTAAATATGGATGTTTTTCTGACACAAACGCATCGCTTCGCTTCAGAAGGCCTTTATTAACCCCCCGGAGCCGTGTGGACGTCTTTTATAATGGATTGGTTAAATTTTTTGGACTTCAAATTTTGGGCTACCATCCACTCCCATTATAAAGCATGGATTAGCCTGGACATTAATTAATTTAACTCCGATTGTATCCGTCTGAAAAAAGAAAGTCATATACACCTCGGATGGCTTGAGGGTGAGTAAATCATGGGGTAATTTTCATTTTTGGGTGAACTATCCCTTTAAATCGAGTTCTAGGGACATTTTTACCTTTGTAAGGTTTTTTCTAACCTTATTAGATGTAAGCTTAATCTTTTATGTCCAATTCTTTCGGTTAATCAGTGCATTTATTTAGAATAATAAGACACTATAGGAGTGTTTTCAGTCCATTGAATAAAACAAAACAAAACAGTCTTTGGGGTCACTGTATCATAATCATTAAAACAACAGCAGATGAAGGAGGAGACCCACCTGCTCCTGGTCCAGGACCATGATCCTGTCACAGTTCAGCACAGTGTTGAGGCGATGCGCGATCACGAGAGTGCTGCAGCCACTGAACGAGGTGCGAATGGTGTCCTGTATGAGGCGGTCTGTCTCTGTGTCAATCGCAGCTGTTGCCTCGTCTAACAGCAGGATCTGAAACACACGTCACAAGATTACATGCAGCACAAATCTGTGATCATGAACGTTATGGCCAGTCATTTCTCCTGCACTGTAATGTTTTTTAGACCACGCTCTTTTTTTGTGTGTTTTGACATATGTGACAATTTTAATAATTTTTGTGACATATGTGACAATTTTATAAGGGTCAGTTTTTCAAAATTGAGATTTATACATCATCTGAAAGCTGAATAAATAAGCTTTGATGTATGGTTTGTTAGGATAGGACAATATTTGGCCGAGATACAACTATTTGAAAATCTGGAATCTGAGGGTGCAAAAAAATCAAAATATTGAGAAAATCGCCTTTAAAGTTGTCCAAATGAAGTTCTTAGCAATGCATATTACTAATCAAAAATTAAGTTTTGATATATTTACAGTAGGAAATTTACCAAATGTCTTCATGGAACATGATCTTTACTTAATATCCTAATGATTTTTGGCATAAAAGAGAAATCGATAATTTTGACCCATATAATGTGTTTTTGGCTATTGCTACAAATATACCCCAGCGACTTAAGACTGCTTTTGTGCTCCAGGGTCACATATGTCTAACTGAAACGGTGGCAGGACATATCGAATGGCTTGTCTTGTCATTTTTTTAAAATGGCCAATAGTCTATGGTGATTTGAAGTAATGAAGTAAATACACAAATTATTCAGTAAAGATATATGATTATTATTTAAGTTGTATAAACTGGTGGTTCTCAACCAGGGGACCTCAGCAAACGTTTACGAGGGCCTCTCAATTACTTAAAATAAGACAAAACAAGCTGAAACAACTACAAATCAGATATTTCTTATTTCACTTCCTCAACAACTGTTTTGTTTTAAGAACCAGGATTCCCATTGTCCTGGAAAACCTTGATATATGAGCATGATATAAAGTCTAGTTATTTCAAACAAACAAACAAATACGTAAAACCTTTAAAATCCATAGGATTATTAATAATGAATGCACATTATTCTAGTTATGCCATGCTCTAAATTAGAGTAGAAACTATGAGTAAAATATTTGTAATATTTTTAAATCACAAAAGAAGAGTCATGTAAATCAATTGGTTTATTTTAGTGACATATTTTACAGAAACTAGGAGTGCCCATAGATAAAAAAACTAAACTAGGCTTGGTGGCCTTTTAATATTTTTGTGCACAATGTGGGGCCTTGTATGTAAATGCTAAGAACCACTGGTTTAACTTTTCCCTGAAGAGGAATCATTTATCTATGTGAATGATAATCAGGTGTCACTGATGTAACTCCTGTGCTTTATGTAAACATTCATCTGTTACATCATGTCCCGTTCTCATATCATTGCACATACTGTGCAAATGTTTACATTGTCCGCAAGAGAGAAGACTTTGGAAAGAACTCTATACTTGTGATCTTTCAATAGTGTGCCATGTGGTGGCAATGTTTCACCATTTTACAACCGCTGAGATTCACCAGTGCTTCACAACAGCAGGGGGAAAACAATGATGAATGCAACTAACACACTGCAACTAACCATATAATCAAATATAGGCAAAGTAGTTAAATAAACCAGTTCATCCGTTTTAAAGGGGGAGAAGAAAGTTTTAGTTGTTGATGATATTTTGGCACAAATTCTCTTACTTGATAGAAGCTAGTCAAATTAGGCAGATGCCAACAATACAGTTCCTGGAAGCATTCATTTGTTTCAAGATTCACTTTAAGGACAGGTTTGTTTACTTTTGCAAGAACAATGTGTTGTTTCTTATTTCAGTCCGGCTGACAAGCAGCGCTGGGTTCAACAGTTACCTTGCTGTGTCTGAGAAGAGCTCTGGCCACACACAGCAGCTGTCTCTCTCCCACTGAGAAGTTCTCTCCGTTCTCCGTCACCTCTGAATGCAGTGAATTAGGCAGCTGGCTTACCTGAAACCAAATCAACACGTGACAAGCTCTCAGGCACAGCTACTCCAAAGCCAATACAAAGTCAGGCTAGAGGTGAATATCACGTCATATCACGACTATAGTGACCAAAAGATCACGGTTATCAATATTATCATGGTATTATTCAAATGTGCTGGATGCAGTGTTGGGGAAAGTTACTTTTAAAAGTAATGCATTACAATATTACTAATCCATTATAAAGCATGGATTAGCCTGGACATTAATTAATTTAACTCCGATTGTATCCGTCTGAAAAAAGAAAGTCATATACACCTCGGATGGCTTGAGGGTGAGTAAATCATGGGGTAATTTTCATTTTTGGGTGAACTATCCCTTTAAATCGAGTTCTAGGGACATTTTTACCTTTGTAAGGTTTTTTCTAACCTTATTAGATGTAAGCTTAATCTTTTATGTCCAATTCTTTCGGTTAATCAGTGCATTTATTTAGAATAATAAGACACTATAGGAGTGTTTTCAGTCCATTGAATAAAACAAAACAAAACAGTCTTTGGGGTCACTGTATCATAATCATTAAAACAACAGCAGATGAAGGAGGAGACCCACCTGCTCCTGGTCCAGGACCATGATCCTGTCACAGTTCAGCACAGTGTTGAGGCGATGCGCGATCACGAGAGTGCTGCAGCCACTGAACGAGGTGCGAATGGTGTCCTGTATGAGGCGGTCTGTCTCTGTGTCAATCGCAGCTGTTGCCTCGTCTAACAGCAGGATCTGAAACACACGTCACAAGATTACATGCAGCACAAATCTGTGATCATGAACGTTATGGCCAGTCATTTCTCCTGCACTGTAATGTTTTTTAGACCACGCTCTTTTTTTGTGTGTTTTGACATATGTGACAATTTTAATAATTTTTGTGACATATGTGACAATTTTATAAGGGTCAGTTTTTCAAAATTGAGATTTATACATCATCTGAAAGCTGAATAAATAAGCTTTGATGTATGGTTTGTTAGGATAGGACAATATTTGGCCGAGATACAACTATTTGAAAATCTGGAATCTGAGGGTGCAAAAAAATCAAAATATTGAGAAAATCGCCTTTAAAGTTGTCCAAATGAAGTTCTTAGCAATGCATATTACTAATCAAAAATTAAGTTTTGATATATTTACAGTAGGAAATTTACCAAATGTCTTCATGGAACATGATCTTTACTTAATATCCTAATGATTTTTGGCATAAAAGAGAAATCGATAATTTTGACCCATATAATGTGTTTTTGGCTATTGCTACAAATATACCCCAGCGACTTAAGACTGCTTTTGTGCTCCAGGGTCACATATGTCTAACTGAAACGGTGGCAGGACATATCGAATGGCTTGTCTTGTCATTTTTTTAAAATGGCCAATAGTCTATGGTGATTTGAAGTAATGAAGTAAATACACAAATTATTCAGTAAAGATATATGATTATTATTTAAGTTGTATAAACTGGTGGTTCTCAACCAGGGGACCTCAGCAAACGTTTACGAGGGCCTCTCAATTACTTAAAATAAGACAAAACAAGCTGAAACAACTACAAATCAGATATTTCTTATTTCACTTCCTCAACAACTGTTTTGTTTTAAGAACCAGGATTCCCATTGTCCTGGAAAACCTTGATATATGAGCATGATATAAAGTCTAGTTATTTCAAACAAACAAACAAATACGTAAAACCTTTAAAATCCATAGGATTATTAATAATGAATGCACATTATTCTAGTTATGCCATGCTCTAAATTAGAGTAGAAACTATGAGTAAAATATTTGTAATATTTTTAAATCACAAAAGAAGAGTCATGTAAATCAATTGGTTTATTTTAGTGACATATTTTACAGAAACTAGGAGTGCCCATAGATAAAAAAACTAAACTAGGCTTGGTGGCCTTTTAATATTTTTGTGCACAATGTGGGGCCTTGTATGTAAATGCTAAGAACCACTGGTTTAACTTTTCCCTGAAGAGGAATCATTTATCTATGTGAATGATAATCAGGTGTCACTGATGTAACTCCTGTGCTTTATGTAAACATTCATCTGTTACATCATGTCCCGTTCTCATATCATTGCACATACTGTGCAAATGTTTACATTGTCCGCAAGAGAGAAGACTTTGGAAAGAACTCTATACTTGTGATCTTTCAATAGTGTGCCATGTGGTGGCAATGTTTCACCATTTTACAACCGCTGAGATTCACCAGTGCTTCACAACAGCAGGGGGAAAACAATGATGAATGCAACTAACACACTGCAACTAACCATATAATCAAATATAGGCAAAGTAGTTAAATAAACCAGTTCATCCGTTTTAAAGGGGGAGAAGAAAGTTTTAGTTGTTGATGATATTTTGGCACAAATTCTCTTACTTGATAGAAGCTAGTCAAATTAGGCAGATGCCAACAATACAGTTCCTGGAAGCATTCATTTGTTTCAAGATTCACTTTAAGGACAGGTTTGTTTACTTTTGCAAGAACAATGTGTTGTTTCTTATTTCAGTCCGGCTGACAAGCAGCGCTGGGTTCAACAGTTACCTTGCTGTGTCTGAGAAGAGCTCTGGCCACACACAGCAGCTGTCTCTCTCCCACTGAGAAGTTCTCTCCGTTCTCCGTCACCTCTGAATGCAGTGAATTAGGCAGCTGGCTTACCTGAAACCAAATCAACACGTGACAAGCTCTCAGGCACAGCTACTCCAAAGCCAATACAAAGTCAGGCTAGAGGTGAATATCACGTCATATCACGACTATAGTGACCAAAAGATCACGGTTATCAATATTATCATGGTATTATTCAAATGTGCTGGATGCAGTGTTGGGGAAAGTTACTTTTAAAAGTAATGCATTACAATATTACTAATTTTGGCATTGTTTAATGTGGAGTGGAAGAGAAGCGGTAGTGCAAACTGATCATCTCCTCTGCTTTAATAGCAGTTTCAGCACGAAATAAACATGAATGAACATCCGAAGGTGTTAAAAGAAAGAGTACAACTTACTGAAATCCGTCTCCTGTCTCATGTAATCAGTGTTTCAAAAGACATCAGTATAACAGCTTGTGTTATACTGTCACATTTACATCTATTGCTAAAACTAATTACGGTACTTAGTTACTTTTTATGGAAAGTAATGCGTTACGTTACTTTTGCGTTACTTTTAAAATCTGGACAGGGCTTGCTTGTTTGTTTTTAAAATAAAAAAGTTATATTTTTGGCAATATAAAAGCCCTTTCACACCAAAAGTGAAATGAATAAGACTCAGGCTGAAGGAAATGTAAATTAATATCTGTACAGCAGAGGGCGCAGCTCAAACAAACCTTTCAGCTGTGCTTCCATTCTGGATTGCATGAAGAATAGGACACAGGAGAAAAAAGTTCAACACTACAAACACAAATGTTATGTTTATCTGAAGTCATTTTTTGCTTAGTATGATTGAATTGGATCATCAAGGTCAGCAGTAAAGACATTGGTTAATAAAATGGAATTAAATACATAAAGGATAATTGTGTTAAACATTTAATTATTACAGGTTTGCATTTCACTGTTTTTTTATTAATTTAGAGGAATACTGAATCTGTTTTTGTGCAAGTGAGATGAGTAAATGCATGTTCACTTTTAGTCTAGAACAACAACCATCATGTTTACACAGCGCACACAACGCCTCTGCATTCACTCCCGTTCCTCTGCATAGAACTACAGTAACATCTTCTGATTTCTCTCAACATGGGGACAGGAGAGCTGTCAGTCAATAAATTGAAAAAAAAAAGTAACTTGCGTTACTTATTTGAAAAAGTAACTCAGATATTCCCTTGTAAATTAAAAAAGTAATGCGTTACTTTACTAGTTACTTGAAAAAAAGTAATCTGATTACGTAACTCGCGTTACTTGTAATGCGTTACCCCAACACTGGCTGGAAGTGTTCAAATAGTACTCATACACAACAACTAAAATGAGCAGCACTATGCACTTTTTGTTTTTGTTTGTTAAAAATGTTGGCTGGAGTTTAAACAAACAAAAAATACTGGTTGGGTGACTTACACCATAACATGTTATCTACTAACATGTTCTACAGACTCTTATTAACTTTGCTTAATGCTGAGCAGTATTTACCACAAGTTTTTTTTTTTCCAAATAGCGATAATCAAATTCGGTTTTAATGATAATTAAAATATTAAAATGGTAATACTAACCATTGGGACTTTTAATCGTGGTTTATCGTCAAACCAGTGATCGTTTCATTCTTACAGTAAGTCAGACTTTGGAAGATCAATCCAAAACCTTCTGCTTCTACTCACCATGTCCTTAATGTGTGTTTTCTCCAGTGCTTCCCAGATCTGTGCATCTGTATATTGATTCCAGGGATCCAGATTTGATCTGTTGGTTATATAAGCAACTTAGTTAGCATAAACTGACCCTAGTCTTACTGTACACGCTTCATCAAGAGGATGCTATTCTTGAGGGGAAAAATTTTTTTGTCTTTGTAATCTTTCATCAAAATTTTATTACTTGCTCTACTTCTGAAATGCCATTCAAAAGTTTGGGATCAGGAAGATTTTTAATGTTTTTGAAAGAAGTCTCTTCTGCTCATCAAGGCTGCATTTATTTGATCAGAAATATAGTAAAAACAGTAATATTGTGAAATATTATTACAATTTAAAACAAGTGTTTTCTATTTGAATATATTGTTAAACTGTAATTTATTTCTGTGATCAAAGCTGAATATTCAGCATCATTACTCCAGTCTTCAGTGTCACACATGATCCTTCAGAAATCATTCTAATATGATGATTTATTATCAGTGTTGGAAACAGTTCTGCTGCTTATTATTTCTTTGGAAACTTTGATACTTTTTTTTAGGATTCTTTGATGAATAAAGTTCAAAAGAACAGCATTTATTCAAAATAGAAATCTTTTGTAACAATATAACTCTTTACTATCTCTTCTTATCAATTTAACACTTCCTTGCTGAATAAAAGTATACATTTAAAAAAAATAAATAAAAAAAAGAAAGAAAAAAATGTACTGACCTAAAACTTTTGAACACTCGTGTAAATTGTTACAAAGAATTTATTTTTTTAATAAATGCTTTTTTTAAATTTATTTTATTTTTTATTTATTTTATTTTTTTTATTTATCAAAGAATCCTGAAAATATATCACAGGTTCCAAAAAAATATTAAGCAGCACAACAGTTTCCAA